TTCCGCCCCCTGCCCACGGAGTCTGCGCGGACGCCGACACGGCCGGAAGTCCCGTCCCGGTAGGTCACGCCCCCGTCCTCGCGAAATTGCGCGATCGTTTCGCGCTGCCCTTCGTGCCACGGGCCTCGCCTGCATACACAGAGTCTGCGCGGGCTCCGCCCCCGTCACGTGCCCAGGTTCCGCCCCACTCCTTTCAGTCCCAGGAGTCTGTGCTGGAGACTCGTGAGGTTGCTGTCTCCGGGTCTTGCTGGGAACCTGGGTAGTCCTCATTTGCTCCACTGGGTTTTCGAAGCTGTGACGAAAGCAGTCGTGTCCACTACTCTCATTCCAGGCCCCGGAGGGCATACAAGCAGGTTTTTAATCCCATCTTAACGAAAGGAAAGAAGCACACAGAGGCGAGGAAGTGGTCAAGGACCCAGGATGGAGAGATCGCTTAGCCTTTCTGCACCTCTACTTACTCATCTGTGAAATGGAGGTCATAGTAGTACTCTCAGGGCTCTGTTGAGAATTAAACGAGGCATTGATGGTAAGAGCCCATAGTAAGTGCTCAGTAAATCTTAGTACTGCAATGTCCCAGTCAGCAAGCTGCATCCACTGAGTGCTGTATGCTGGGCACCAGCTCCCTGCATTGCAGTCCTAGAAGGACCTGTACTCCTGTGCTCACTTTGTAGATGGAAAAATAGGTTGGGGAAAGTCACGTGTTGGAGATCACAAAGCTAGTAGAGGAGACAGTCAAACCCAAAGGCCTGCTCTGGGTAAGAAGCCCCCCTAGGCTGGGCGTGGTGGCTCACTGCTATAGTCTCAGCACTTTGGGAGGCTGAGGTGAAGGGATCGCCTGAGTCCACGGGTTCCAGAACAGCCTGGGCAACTGGCGAGACCTCATCTCTACAATAAATCAAAAAATTAGCCAGGCGTGGTGGCACGTGCCTGTAGTTCCAGCTATTTGGAAAGCTGGGACGGAAGACCTGAGCCCAGGAGATCGAGGCAGCGGTGGCCGTGAGCATGCCGCTGCACTCCAGCCTGGGCGACAGAGTGAGACTCCAACTAAAAAAAAAAAAAAAAAAAAAAGCCCCTCCAGCGACCCACCCCACTGTGTGCCTCCGATGTCTCAGTGGCTCTTTTCATGGGCACAAGTCAAGTTTATAGTACTCACTGTTTAGGAAGTAGAGGAAATTAGCCAACCCCAGACTCAGGCTCTGAAAAGAGGCTGGGGGATAATGGGTAGACTTTTTCTTTGTTGTAGACACAGTTATTCAGGGCTCCTCCCAGTAGACATGTGTAGTGGTGCCCAAGAGAGGGTGTTCAGTAACATGTGTTCCTCTGTAGTTCCAAATGTTAGGTCCTTTTGAAACCATCTATATAAAATTATACGCGATGGCTCACACCTGTAATCCCAGCACTTTGGGAGGTGAAGGTGAGAGAATTGCCTAAGCCCAGGGGTTGGAGACCAGCCTGGGCAACTTGGTGAGATTGCATCTCTACAACAAAAATCAAAAAGTTAGCCAAACATGGTGGCTTGTAACTCCAGCTACTCAGGAGGCTGAGGCAGAAGGATCACCTGAGCCTAGCAGGTTGAGGCTGCTATAGCCATTGCCCCCCAGTCTCAGCAACAGAGTGAGACTCTGAATAAAAAAAAAAAAAATTAATATAGGGAATAGGGTAAAAGCTATTAAAGAGATCTGAGCCCTGCAAAGTTGCAGCTATAATTAGAAATTACCAAATCTGTTGTTTCTAAGTTTGCTTTCACTTCAGTGAAGAGCAATTGATTATAATCTTGTCCTGATCCTTGGGGAGCAGGAAGCTGCCAGTGAGGATGATAAACATATTTTCCCTTAAATAATGAGGACAAGAACTCCTTGATGGCATGTCTCATATCCAGGACCCACCCCTGCATACCTTACACTTAAACTTCCTCTGTAACAGCTTACTGCCCAGGAGTCAGTAGCCAATGGTCTCAGGACTTTCTTTATAGATAGCCTCTCTGTTATAAAATCTAAGAATGGTGAGGTTTTTCCCCTTTTTAATTTTATTTTTAATTAGAGATGGGGTCTTACTAAATTGCCCAGACAATTAGAGATCATGAGTCTCAAACTAACGATCTCAAGCCTCCCAAGATGCTGGGTTTACAAGTCCACACCTTGCCTGGCTAATGGCATTTGAGATGTTTTTCAGACTTTGCCCTCTAAAGGACCTGAGGCCCCATCTGGACCCAGCACACATACCAAGGAGCTGGCTCCAACCAGTCCTGTAACCCCCTCCCAGAAAATGACTATGTGGCCTGAACACAGTTTGGACACTCCCAATGACTTCATCTCCAACCAGTCTACAAAGCCCATTTCCTAGCCCACTGCCTGTCAGATTATTCCCTTAAAAACCCTAGCCTAAGCCAGGCTCAGTGGCTCAGCCTGTAATCCCGCGCCTTTGGGAGGCTGAGGTGAGTGGATTGCCTGAGACCCGCCTGGGCAGTGAGACCTCATCTCTACAATAAATCAAAAAATCAGCCGGGCTTGGTAGCGCATGCTTGTAGTTCCGGCTACTTGGAAGGCTGAGGTGGAAGGATCGCCGTAGCCCAGCAGGTCAAGGCTGTGGTGGCCAGGAGTGGCTACTGCACTCCAGTCTGGGCAACAGAGTGAGACTCCAACTCAAAAAAAAAACAACAACAACAAAACCCTAGCCTAGGCCGGGCTCAGTGGTTCAGCCTGTAATCCCAGCACGTTGGGAGGTCGAGGTGAGAGGATTGCCTGAGCCCGCGGGTTCAAGACCCATCTGGGCAACTTGGCGAGACCTCATCTCTACAATAAATCAAAAAATTAGCCGGGCATGGTAGTGCGCACCTGTAGTTCCAGCTACTTGGAAGGCTGAGGCGGAAGGATTGCCGGAGCCCAGCAGGTCGAGGCTGCGGTGGCCGGAAGTGGCCACTGCACTCCAGTGTGGGTGACAGTGAGACTCCAACTCAAAAAAAAAAACAACACCCTAGCCTAGGCTGGGTATAGTGGCTCACACATATAATCCCAGCACTTTGGGAGGCCGAGGTGAGAGGATTGCCTGAGCCCACAGTTCGAGCCCAGCCTGTGCTACATGGTGAGACCTCATGTCTACAATAAATCAAGAAAAGTTAGCCAGGCATGATGGCGCATGCCTGTAGTTCCAGCTACTCGGAAGGCTGAGGCAGAAGGATTGCCTGAGCCCAGGATGAGGCTGTGGTAGCCATGAGCGTGCCACTGACCTCCAGCCTGGGTGACAGAGTGAGACCCCAACTCAAAAAACAAAAGACAAAAAAAACCCTATCCTAAAACTCCAAGAGGTGGATTTGATAACTATCTCCTGTCTTCCTTGCTCGACTGCTTTGCAATGCTAAACTCTTTCTGTACTATAATAGCTGTGTCAGTCTTGGTATTTCTAGGCAGCAGGCATAAGAACTTGATGAGGCTATAATGCTTTCCAAGTAAATTTTGTGATGTTAAAAAAAAGGTGAAGTCAATGTGGAAGGAAATGTGGAAGGAAATGTGATTTGAATGTGACAGGAAGAAGCCAGGCGTGGTGGCTCATGCCTATAATCCCAACCACTAGGGAGGCTGAGGTGAGAGTATTGTCTGAGCTTAGGGGTTCAAGACCAGCCTGAGCAACATGGCAAGACCTTGTCTCTACAATAAATCATAAAAAATGAGCCGGGAAGCCGGGCTCGGTGGCTCAGCCTGTAATCCCACGCCTTTGGGAGGCTGAGGTGAGTGGATTGCCTGAGCCCGCGGGTTCGAGACCCGTCTGGACAGGCGAGACCTCATCTCTACAATAAACCAAAAAAAAAAAAAATTAGCCGGGCGTGGTAATGTGTGCCTGTAGTTTCCAGCTACTTGGAAGGCTGAGGTGGAAGGATCGCCGGAGCCCAGCAGGTCGAGGCTACTCCAGTCTGGGCGACAGAGTGAGACTCCAACTCAAAACAAAAATAAAAAATGTGCTGGGCATGGTGGTGCATGTCTGTTGTTCCAGTACTTGGAAGTCTGAGACAAAAGGATCACCTGAGCCCAGCAGGTCAAGGCTGTGGTGGCTGTGAGCGTGCCACTGCACTCCAGCCTCGGTGACAGCATGGGACTCTGACTCAAAAAACAAAAAAAGTGACAGGAAGAAATGGTTTCCATGAGGGAGAGGGGACAAGTGTACCCCAGGGTATGTGAATAGTCACACAGCTGTGGGGGCCTCAGATCAACACTTGGCCTTCAATGTCAGTAACTACAAACCAGTGGGAATACAACTTTGAGGGAACTAAAGTAATATGATATCATGCCAAAAACAAAAGCACAACATGACTAAGCAGAAAGGGAGACCCCCATACCCTACCACAGGTGAGCTGTGTGGCCCTGGTGCAAATTCCATCACTCCTTGTCTAGCTCTGCTTCTGTGGATGTATACTAGGCCTTCAATGGCTACCTTGCTAGGTGGGCTAGACATCCAGTGTATCAACCACCCAGGCTCAATGTGTTGGTAGCTGATACATACCTGCCATTCTATTTGTCTTCTGTATTGCACATCTTTTTTGTTCCTTCTCTACTGCCTTTTTTTGTAAGTAGATATTTTCTGGTATACCATGCATTCCTTTAGTGATTTTTTTTTTTTAAGAGATGGGGTCCTGCCGGGCTCGGTGGCTCAGCCTGTAATCCCACGCCTTGGGAGGCTGAGGTGGGTGGATTGCCTGAGCCCACGTGTTCGAGACCCGCCTGGGCAAGTTGGTGAGACCTCATCTCTACAATAAATAAAAAAATTAGCCGG